GGCTGTCTGTGTCCAAATTTCTCCTTTTTCTAAGGACACCAGTCACATTGGATTCGGGCTCACACCAGTGTCTCATTTTAATTTGCTTACCATTGTAAAGACCTTATTTCCAAATAAGATCACACTCTGAAGTGCTGATGTTGGTTAGGGCCTCAGCATATTTTTTTGTGGGGGACACAATTCAACTCATAACGGCGTTTTCATGGAAGAATCAGAACTTGAAAGCTAGGTGGTGTTGCTTAGAATGACAAAAAAAAGCATAACTTTCTAAGAGAATCAATTTGTGAAAAACGAATATTCGTGTTTGTCCAAGATGAAAAACAGTATGGCCTTACTTAGAAACGGTGGTAGTGCACTGCTGGTGGGAATGCAGACTGGTGCAGCCACTATGGAAAGCAATATGGAGGGTCCTCAGAAATTTAAAAATGGAACTGCCGTATGACCCAGCAATTCCACTTCTGGGTATCTATCTAAATAAAATGAAAATACTAATTCAAAAAGATATGTGCACCCTTATGTTTATTGCAGCATTATTTACAATACTGAATATATGGAAGCAACCAAAGTGTCTAAGCATTCATCAATAGATGAATGGAAATATATATATATATATATATATCCATTCCATATATATATATATACACACACACACACACACACACACACACACACANCCATTCCATATATATATATATATATACACACACACACACACACATATATATAATGAATGTTACTCAGCCATAAAAAAAGAATTAAATCTTTCCATTTGTGACAATATAAATGGACCTAGAGAGCCTTATACTAAGAAAGCCTTATATTAAGAGCCTTATAATAAGTCAAACAGAAAGAAAAATACCATGTGATCTCACTTACAATGTGGAACCTAAAAGATAAAACTAATGAACAAACAAAACAAAACAGAAAGAGACTTGTCGACATAGAAAAAAACTGTTGCCAGAGGAGAAGCGGGTGTGGGGAAGGGCACAAAAGCTGAAGAAGAATTAGAGTAACAAACTTCCAGCTTGTTACTTCACACCTTGGTAAGTCAGGGGGATGTAATGTTCAGCATGGGGCATATAGTCAGTAATATAATAACTTTTCATGGTGTCGGATGGTTACTAGACATCATGGTGATCACCTCGTTAGGTATATAAATGCTGAATAACTATGTCATATACCTAAAATAATATAATATTATATATTAACTATATTTTAATTAAAAATTAAATAAAAATACCAAAGCAGTTTCATTTTTTAAAAAGAGTTGTGGTAGTGGCATTGGTGATAATGATGATAATAGTGGCTAACGCCTATAAAAATCTTGCCACGTGCCTTCATCGCACCGACTGCATTCCATGAGCATTTTATTCTCAGATCAGCCCTGGAGGTAGTCATATTACTGTGAGTTGTAGAGAGAAGAAATGGTAGCACCGAGGAGTTAGATAAGTGAACACATCATGGAACTGGAAGGTGGAGGGTAGGGTTTGTCTGATCCCAAACTTTTGCTTTTTACCATGATGGTCTGTTGCGCTCTTCATGGCACAAATTCGAGTTAAACTTGGATGAGTAGGTTGGGCTGCTGTGTGAAGGGCTTTGATGGGGTGTGGAGTCTGTTTGATGTTACAGAAAATGGAAAACCATTTTTAGTGTCTGAAGAGGTGTGAAGTGATGAATGGGTTATTTTAGGAAGTAGGTGTGTCGTTTCCACCCAAGGTTGCATTTTCTTTAGAGAAATCTTATCCATGAGTAGCTATTGGCCATGAAGAGTTTCTTTTCATAGGATTTTATCGGGTGATTTCCCTCTTTCCCACTGGTTTCTCTTAACCAAAAATTTCCTTTATCACTTTAAAAAGTGTGCTCTGGTGATCTTTTTCCCCACATATAATATTCTTTGTAAGTTCTTCACGGGAGTGATAAAGCATCGATCAGGTCATAGCCAGAGCGCAGACAGCATTAAAGGAAAACTTTGCTCGATGCATTAACCCTATAAAGTCAGATTTCAGTTCAGTATTCTGTTTGTTTGTTTTCTTCTTTGCTTATTTGTTTGTCTTAGGCAGCACCTTTAGGCACTGCATTTCTGGTGGTTCAAAGTTTAATTTGTTATGTGTATACTGACATCTTCCTCTCTGGTTTTGCCATAGAGAAAAATGTACGTGAGGAGAAAGGTGAAGACCATGGCAAGGAAAGCTAAAATACACAAAGCATCTTGAGTCAGAACGTGCATGTCACTGGGGAGTGATGGGGTCATTGTGATGTTTCTACAATTCTACGTTTGCTCTGGGGGACACATTACAGTAAAGCTAAGCCTCCTTATTTTTACAGGATGACCTAAGTGAAAATTCCCTCCCCTGGTAATACAGGGCTGGGTCGATGGAGAACACGTGCCTTCCCTAAATCTTAAGCAGTCTAACTTCCTTTCCTACCTAAGATAACCTGGTAATAATATATAAAGTCACACATGTCTTCACAGAAAGCTTGAGGACCCCTTGATTGTGATTAGCCAATAGTTGTGAACTTGCACTTTAGTCTAGGACTGTACCCCCACGCGTTTCTCCATTTGGACGTCCATGTAGCAAGCTCATCCAGGCTGGGTCACTGTAAATCTTACCGAGGTCACACAGAACTTATTTGGATGGTAGAATTAAAGTAGATGTTTGGTCTCCAGCTGGAAAGTAGAGCAGGAGGCCAGAGAACCCCGTGTGGCTCGGTTTCCTCGCTTGGACGGGGCAGTACATGGCCGTCCAGGGGATCTGAGGTCCGACCAGTCGCTGCTCAGACACGGAGCTCAGTCCAGAAACAGCTGTCCAGAACTAATTTATTTCCTAATACTACGGCACTGTTAATTTATAAATTACACTGGTAATTCAAGCTATTATTAATTTCAGATGGTGTAGGGCAAGCCTAATTAAAATATGACATCAATTGCCACACAGAGGTACCAAAGACTACCATTTAAAATTAATGGGAATATTAAGTGTGACACTGGTCTCCGAGATGCCTTGCACAGTAATTATAGCATTCTAGCCGGGAAAGATCTGACGAATGTAGGCTTGAGTCTGGTAGCAAAAAAACAACAACAAGATCAAAGGAATCGCAAGGTCCTCTTTTAAGCCTTTGCTCCGGGTTTTCTCCATCTTTCCTCAGGTCAAGGCCGGTACTTTTTTCCCCCCTAAAGATTCTTAGGAAACCAGAAAGGCTACTGTGACAATGAGAAGCTTCTTGCTGGTTGGGACTATGAGTTCCCATGGGCTACTGTTGAGTTCTCTCTATGGCCTGGACTTTTTGCCCCGTTAGCTACTCATTGCCACGTCCTCGGACGGTCCTGTGAGTGTAGGAGGCCTGCTTTTGGCTTTAGCAGACACAGGCTGTGCTTTTGCTCTCCTGGAGCTGGGGGAGGCAGGAGTTCCTGCACAGAGAGCGTGTGCGTTTCCTATAGCATGCAGATCATCAGGAAAGGCCCGGGTTGGCCTTATTTCTGGATGGTGGCATGGAGGTACCATGTCCAAGGAGGGGTGGCAGCCTCGGGCAGGTGGTGGCCCCTTTTATAGGACAGTTGTTGTGTTATTGTTGTCATTGTTATTACCCTGTTGCTACCTTAACAACAAACGAGACCTTCATGTCACGAAACAAATACAACTGTGACTTACCTACCACGTGTGTCATTCTTTGTATTGTATTAGTCTCTCGCTGTTATTTTCACGCTTTGCAAGAGCAGGTACGTGGGGCGGCTCTGTCCCCTGAGAGACATAGTCCTTTCTTCCCTCTTTGTTCGTGTGGAGCTACTCAGGTTAACCTAGCTCCCCCTCACCAAGCTGACCTCCAGGCAGATCACGGGCTTACTAAGGGACACACAGGCGTGCAGCACACGAAAGTTTTCAGAGTGCGTCCGTGTTTATACATGTTTTCATTTGTCACCGAACAGCCCTCGGAGGTGTTAGGGCCCTATCTATGTATATTCTGCCTGGGAAAATGACTGTCAGTGGCTAGTGACAGTCTCAACTAATGCTGTTGCCCCATCGTAACTATCAACAGCACCCCATTTGCTCCTTGAAGGGCCCCCCGTTCACGTGATGAATGTGCCTTCGTGCTGTGACTTCATCCAGCAGAGGAGGCCGGATACTTCCTTGGGGTGGAAGCAGTTGCTTTCCTTCTTCATTGCCCTTCTGAGAGGAGGCTGGAGCTCAGGGGACATGGGAGAAAGCCAAGAAACTGTGTCCCAGGCTTTAGTGCCATGGTCTTTCCCTAATCGGATCCTCAGGGCCAGCCCTCCAGTGGGAAGCCTGGGAGGTAGAGGGTTGTAATGATTATTCACGTTTTCCCCTGCGGAACGGGTTCCGAGGATGCTGAAGTGACAGTGAGACCTGCGGCCTGTCCTTTTGTTCTTTACCTTCTGCCGTGTTTGTAGTTAGCGTGCTGGGTCCCTGTTGTTGGTTTGTCTTCAGGATCTTGTACCCAAGAGCTCCACCAGACTGACGTTTAGAAAATGGACTTTTGCCTATCAATTGAGTGTCTAGCTGTAAAAACAAATTGAAATTTATGTTATGAGTGTTTCCACTGCTTTTTGTCACAGGTGTGTGTGTGTGTGTGTAACTGCTGTTGTGGTATTTTTAATTGATATGTGGTCTGGGATGCAGTCACTGGCTCTAGACGCCAAGGCTCAGTCTAAATGACACCTGGAGGTGAGGAAGAATTTATACACCTCAGGTGCCTCACTCACACCCCAGAGCCTGACTGCTTGGTAAGACCTGGGCAGTAAACGTCAAAATTATTAATCACGGGTGGAGGACCAGCAGTTCTCTAGGCCTTGTGTTGAGCCCAGGTAGGGACACAAGCATCCCCGATAGTCCGCTGGGGAAGTAAAGCCACGGTGGCGGGGCAGGGCAGAGGAGGGGGTGTGACCGACACGTGGAAGCGGCGGGCATCACCGTTTTGCACTTTGGTTTCTAAGAGTGCACCGCTGGTGTTTTTCTCCTGTTTTGTCGCTCGGCCTCCTGCAGCTGTGGGCTTTGTGAGTGAAGACGAATACTTGGAAATCCAGGGCATCACTAGAGAGCAGTCCGGGGACTACGAGTGCAGCGCCTCCAACGACGTGGCCGCGCCGGTGGTGCGGAGAGTGAAGGTCACCGTCAACTGTGAGTGGAGCCCCGAGCCCCCTGTGTGGCCGAGAGGCCGGCCGATGGCGTGGCCGCGAAACGCGCCGGATTACAGAGCCAGCTGCAGGCTCAGGGTGCGAGATAATGGGGCGGCATTGTCCGTTCTCCGCTTTTAATAGCAACAATTTCAAAATCTAATTTAAAAAAAAAAAAATTGTACCTGAAAGTAATTTAACATAATCCCAAACTTGACTTATCTTCCTGGAAGATTATGAAATGGCATTTAATGCATAATTTATATAAACGTGTCTTTTTTAAGTTTATTTTTTATTGTTGACATTATTACAGAGGTCCCCTATTTTAAGCATGTCTTTGATCCCCAGTTTTTCCACAGTGCCGGCAAACCAGAAGCCTTTCTTCCTCAAAATGTGAGTGGGTGGAGGTAGAGGAAGAATATTCTTTATTTTCTTTACTTTAGTAGAAAACATTTCAAGAAGCAAGAAAATGGGTGTAGCAATGCTACCATTTTTTGTACCCAACCACAATTGTTTTAAAGGGACTTAAATGACCTACAGTTGATAAAGACTAACCTAAAGAGAAGGAAATATAAGCAAAGGGAAAAGATATTTAGAAAAATATGTGAAATCTAGGGATAAATCAGCACCTGAAATATATACCACAGGTGGTTACGTGTGGTCCAGAACTTGGTTTTCAGTTGCCGAAGCAAAGAGAGGAAACACCACCTGTTTGAAGGTTTATGTCCGTAAGATGAAAGCAAACCATTTGGGAGAAACATTGCGTTTACGGGTGCTGAGACCAAGGAGAATTTTATCTTAGGGTCTCCACAAATACAGCACTTTGAAATACAGGCCACATCGCACCTGGTATCTGTACTGTGTGCAGTTGCACGTTTGTTAGGGCTCCGTTTCATAAGCGCTCCCCCGCCAACCATTGGTCTGGTTGGTTCTGAATGCACTTAGAAGACCCAGAAGACAGACCGACCTGTAGACCCCTCAGGCAGTTCTCTGTGAATATTATGTACTGCAACTGTGCTTTTGATGGGAATTGAATAGTATGAGGTTATAAACTCGGGCAAGAACCTGACTTGCAGAAATTCTGTAAGGCTGATTAAAAGTGCTGGCTGTCCGGCCATGGTGTGTAGGGTGGATGGGTTGCCATCATCCTATGAAAGTTAAAAAGTTTAAACAGAGAATGGGCCTGAGCACCTGGTCACTCGGCCTCTGCTGGGAAGGGAGCCGAAGCAGTCCACGCTCTGAAGACCACGTGTTCTTACAACTCCCTCGAGTGGCTTCATTCTGTAGCACAATTTGTGTAGCGAGTTGGAGGCTCAGGCAAGCGCAGTAGATCAGAGAGAAACCCAAAATCAGGAGGCAGCAGCCGGCCTCGTTGGAGAAGGCGCTTTCAGATGCTACAGGACGTCTTCTCTCCGCAGATCCGCCGTACATTTCAGAAGCTAAGGGCACGGGCGTCCCCGTGGGACAGAAGGGGACCCTGCAGTGTGAAGCCTCGGCAGTTCCCTCGGCAGAGTTCCAGTGGTTCAAGGATGACAAAAGGTAAATGTCCCCTCCCTTCACCCCTTCCCACACCCAAGAAGAAGGCATCTTTCCCAGGTCCCTGGTTCCAGATGATTGCAAATGAAACCCTGTGAATTCCCCTCCGAACTCCTCCTACCTGTGCAGGGACGGACAATATACAAACACGTCTTTTCCTAATATTAATGAATTTCAGCTGTTTCCAGTGCTGCCCGGCAGAATTAGCTCTTGCCAACTAACAATCATGAAAGAAAACATTTTATTAGGACAGCAAGATCTCCCAGGAGCCCGGCCGGGCTTGGCTCAGCGGTTGAGCATCGACCTAGGATCCAGGAGATCGAGGTTCGATTCCTGGTCAGGGCACGTGCCTGGGTTGAGGACTCGATCCTCAGCAGGGGACGTGCAGGAGGCAGCCGATCAATGACTCTCTCATCATTGATGTTTCTATCTCTCTCCCTCTCCCTTCCTCTCTCTGAAATCAATAGGGATATATTTAAAATAAAATTAAAAATCTCACAAGAGAGGCCACTAGGAGCATGTAAGACCTGTGGATTTTTATAGGCCAAGAAAATGCTATGTTCTGCCCAATTTTAACACATTCCCGGGCTTGGGTTAGGTGTTAGGAGTGCTCGGGGCTCTGGGAGAGGCCAAGACGTTAGCTGTAGCTAGAGGTGTCAGGTCAGTCCCAGACACTGTCAGGGCTGGTTTATGAGTCCCTGACCCTATTTAGCTCTCCCTTTGTGCCCAGGTCGTTACTACAGTGGTAGGAAAAGAGAGCACACTGTTCCCTTCCCTGGCATTGTTGCGACCACCATCAGGACATTTGTTGTGATCTACTGAAGACTGTCATTGCGAGGAGCTGTCAGGTGGCAGGCTGGCACAGGGTCAGCAGCTCAACACAGCAGGCGGCACCATCGCGGCTGTTCAAGTAGCTATTTTAAGCTGGACAAACAGCAGATCCATGTGCAAGGGCTGTCCGTGTTCACAGCCCTTCTGTACAAATGAGGAGGGGGCGATGCCCAAGGCCTGAGGTGCATGTGGGGTGAGGAGGAGGGGTTCCAGAGGCTGAGAAGTGAGAAAGCAAAGCAGCGAGGAGGCTGATGGTGGGAAGAGCACTGTGAGCAAGGCCAGGCGGGGACCCGGCTGGTGTCCGTGACCCAGAACATCTTCAGTGCACTCGTGTGTCTTTCCTTTTGGGGGCCGGCGGACACCAGAAGCTCTTCTGGTCTCTGGATCAATCATTGGATTTTGTTTAAGACCAAGTCAATCAGTCATCAGGTTTATTGAGTCTTGTCATAATCCTTGCAAGGAGATCCCTGGGTTTCCGTCTTTAAGTAGAAATTCTGGCAGCGTCTTTGCGAGGTGTACTGTATTCATTGCGCCCGTTTTATAGATGGAAGCACTGAGGCAGAAAGAGGAAACAGACTCATAAAGAGATAGGAAGAAATAGCTGTCTTTCCCTCTTTTTACAAGAATTCAGAATCAAGCAGAAGGGAGCAACGATTTTCTGATAAATAATCATGGTTATCTTTCTTAGGAACCCTGCTTCACTTGTCCCCCCTCCCTCTTATGGAAGGACCTTTTATATGAATGTCTAATATCAGGAAAAAAAGACAACTATGGATTCAGGGTGCATTCCTGAACCTTTAATGGTCTAGGTCTTCATGAAAACAAATAAACTGTTTCCTATTTTTCTAATTTTTTATGGAGGAAAAATACAATAAAATGTATGGGAAAACGGGATCTTAAACTATGTGGAGGAAAGTAGGGTAGGCCACAGGCAAAAGTGGCCAAAGGGGAGGGAAGGAAGATAGGGCTCTGACTGGCAGAGCTGCAGTGCCACTGGAGGGGCTGCAGGACTCTGACTGGCAGGGCCGCGGTGCCACTGGAGGGGCTGCAGGACTCTGACTGGCAGGGCTGCAGTGCCCCTGGAGGGGCTGCAGGACTCTGACTGGCAGGGCCGCGGTGCCACCGGAGGGGCTGCAGGACTCTGACTGGCAGGGCCGCGGTGCCACTGGAGGGGCTGCAGGACTGTGACTGGCAGGGCCGCGGTGCCACTGGAGGGGCTGCAGGACTGTGACTGGCAGGGCCGCGGTGCCACTGGAGGGGCTGCAGGACTCTGACTGGCAGGGCTGCGGTGCCACTGGAGGGGCTGCAGGACTCTGACTGGCAGGGCCGCGGTGCCACTGGAGGGGCTGCAGGACTCTGACTGGCAGGGCCGCGGTGCCACTGGAGGGGCTGCAGGACTCTGACTGGCAGGGCCGCGGTGCCACTGGAGGGGCTGCAGGACTCTGTCAGGGCTGTGGTGCCACTGGAGGGGCTGCAGGACTGTGACTGGCAGGGCCGCAGTGCCACTGGAGGGGCTGCCATCTGCCAGGATCTACCTGGGAAGAGGAAGTCCGAGAGCAGCACCAGGGAGGGTGTCAGAGGCCTGTGGCTCAGGCGACTTAATTCTTTCTTTGTCTGAGTTCTCATGCAGCTTCTTTTCTCTCCTTTAACTAATCCAGGTCAGTTTTCCACTTGCTGTTCACTTACTTATTTCCAGTGTCCCCCCCATTGAATGGCTTTGTCTGTCCTCCTGGCACCCCGTTTTACGAGGACATCTCTGCCTTCAAGGTCCTTGTCCCTGCCTGTCCTTCCCGCCCCCTGAGGCTGGCAGGAACCCCCTCAGGCAGGTCTCAGAGGGCATATTCCATCCGCCTGGGAGAAGATCAGCTCTAACCTGGCTCCCGTTTCCAGTGATAGGAGGGGACTTCTGAGGCAATCAAAGGACTCCATGTGATGGGGACAGCAGTTGCCTCAAATTTTAGGGGAAAAGTCTCCCCTTGACTCCGCATTGCATGCCCCTGTGTGTGACATCTATCAAAGGGAGAGAAAATGGAATGCTGTAGTTAATAAGGGCCGCCCATCCGAGGGGACAGGAGAGAGTAAGAAGCCTACAGGTTCATTGGGAGCCTGAAGCCTGGTAGCAGTGTGGAACGGGGAAACGTGTGACCACAGGGCAAAGGCAAGTGTGTCAGCCCGGGAGCTGCAAAGTGGTGCAAACTGCTGCGGCCCCGCTTTTAGCTAAAGGCATTCCCGAGCTGTCAGGCAGGAGCCTGCTTCCGGCAAGTGTCTCCCCGCTACAGAGCTGAAATCCAATTCACAGCTCGGTCGTGATGCGAGGCCTTCTCCCCAGCCCAGGAAATCATCAAAATGGCAAAGGGGTTCGATCAGCTGGGGGAGGTCTCAGAAACCTCCTGAGGGGTGGGCTGCAGAACCTTCTCTGGGCAGCACCCCCAGGGGATCAGCATCCGCATGACAAGCTGGGGATGTAACTGGTGTCTGGCCGCTCAGCTGGACCCCTCATTCCATGAGGACAGTGCTCGTATTTTAATGAAGTTCATGGGCTCAGGACAGTTCACTGCCCCTAGAAGAAAGGCTCCCAGGGGGCAATCGACGTAATGAAAAGCAGGCAAGTCCCTCCGGCCAACCTCCTGACTTCCCCGGAGACAGACTCCGCGTGAAAGCTGAAGGCAGACCTGGCCTCCCTTCTGGCCACTGGGGCTGTGGGCTTGGCAGATGAGAGTGTCGTTCTGCAGTCCTAGGGAGATAACACCTTCAGATAATGACAGAGCAGCTGCCCTCTCCGCCAACCCTGCTGTGACCCAGGGCCGGGCGGGAGTTCTCCACGGCCAGCTTCATAGAAATATATTCTATTGAATAACATTTTACGGTTTACAAAGCACCTGCTCATCATTGTCTCGCTGAGCTTCACTTTCTGGTTCTGCCTTGAATATTGTCTTTCTCGGTGTGATGACTCTGATACCAGCCATGTGCCCTAATTCGTGTCCCCAGAGCCTGTTCCAATATGTGTCCGTCTTGACATTGTTTACTCTGCGCATCCTGCTCCAGCCAGACTCTCAGCAGGCGGCTTAAGCTTCTGCCCCTGTTCCCTGAGATCCTGGCTGCAGAAGGACCCGTGTCCCCCACTACTGTTCATTTTTCCCAAAATAGGGACTCAGCTTCTGGGCGGGGAAGACAGATAATCTCAGGGAAAGGGACATGTTGGCTTCAAGCCCATACTCTGAAAGAAGACATGCCAGAGGTTTCCCGAAGAAGAGGGTCGGTCTCGTGGTTCTGTGTAGACGTGTGCTCGTGGCAGGGATTGCGGCTCACGGCCCCCTGCGGTGGAAGGCACGGCCGCCCTCTCCTTATCTGCCCCTCCACCCGGCAATGGAAGCCGTGTTCTAATAAGTGTCTAACTGCTTTCCTCACTAGCTATCTGTGGTGCTCCTTTAGTGGCCGCCACCACCAATGGGAGCCCTGTGGCATGTCCAGCTGCCGTGGTGGGCTGCTCAGGGAGACTGTCCTGGCTCCGAAGGGCCTTATTCTCAGGCATCTCTAATCCCTCCCACGCCGAGTGGCTGTGATGCTCTGGGCACATCACTTCTCTCAGGCTCTTCAGAGTCCACTGATTAAAAATGACCCCTGATTCTTGTTTCCCACTCACAGCCCAAAGCAAGGTATTATGTGTAGACTACCTCAGATTCGCAGGGGAAGCTTTTATTACTCAGGAGCTCCAAAAACATTGTGTGGTGTTTTTTTCCAAACCCCTCAGGTTGTTCTTCCCCTTGAAGTTTGAGTTTTTAATTTTCACGGTGCCATCGTCACCGCCGTCACCATTTTCATGTCATCATCATCAACATCAGTTAAGGCCCCACTTCGGAGCACCTACGCCGTGAATCGCGTTGCTCTGAATGCCACAGAGCTGGAACATCGTATTTGTTGAAGGCACCTGCCTTCAGAGATCTTAAATGTCTGTGTGGGGAGGTGAATAGCTGCCCAGTGCCACAAGTATCTCCAGGCACATACATAAAAATAGACAAATAAATTATATTTGTCGTTGGAGGGGAACTTGCTGCGTAGTTGAGTAGGGGGGACCATGGGTATAATATCAGGAAGGTCATGAATTCCAGAATCTGTCTTCTTCCTATGAGAAAAGTATAACCGCCTTTTACTTTCTTTCTTGTTTTTGTCTCTCTGCTTTGTCTCAGGCTGGTTGAAGGAAAGAAGGGGGTCAAAGTGGAAAACAGACCTTTCCTCTCAAAGCTCATCTTCTTCAATGTCTCAGAGCATGACTATGGGAACTATACTTGCGTGGCCTCCAACAAGCTGGGCCACACCAATGCCAGCATCACACTCTTCGGTAAGACTGGGCCCCGAGCTGGGCAGTGAAGGGAGGAGAGTGTCCTGTAGAGCAGGAGGAGTTGGGGAGGGAGGCCCAGAGGGAAGGTAGGGGGGCATCCGGAGTGGTTAGGCAGGGGTGGGTGAGACGAGGAACGAGGGGGGTGAGAAAAAGAGAGGGAACAAACACTGGGAGTAGGCAGAAAATTTAAAAGTAATGCTCATGTCCCATTCTATAAAGGGAAAACCCTGAGACAGGAGGAAAGCATCTGGGGATGCTGAGTGACAGTCTTTCCTCCTCAGTGATCGCTCCGTGAACTGACCGTGGGGATTATAACTGGGCGAGACAGTAAAGAGCCCAGGGAGGGCGTTTACTGCATCAGTGCTTTGCTCACTGAATTGGTGCAGAATGTTACCATTTCTGAAACTTTTCTGGCCATTGGGACATGAGAGAAATGGAATTCTGTTTATGAAAGTAGAACGGTGCACCTTGGGATCCCGAATAATATTAGTTTCAGAGGGAAGATAGAGAAAATGGGATTTTCCCTGGTTTTCCATCCGTATCAAAAGGTGTTGTCTGGCTGGATTAAGTGACATCGTCATTCATGCATCGACTCATTCAACAACTATTTACCGAAGGGCAAACGTGTGCAGGGGAAGTTGCTGTGCGCCCATTACACATTGGCACCGAAACCAGTGCCAGAGGAAGCTAAGGAAGCCAATACACCAGCCCCTCTGGAGCAGTGCCTCCTAGTTCTGTGAGCAGAACAGCTCCAAGAGCGGCCTGGGGGCGTGTCTGCAGCATGAGGCCCCTGGTGAGGACTTTGATCCCTCAGTAGATGCAGATTCTCCCTGTGGGCACAGGGTTCCTTTCTGGTTGATTTGGGGGCAGATCCCTCCAGTCCTCACCAAGTTCAGTTAGCTCGTTTTCCAAACCCGTTCCCCTCAGTCTCCACGTAAACAAACACTCTCCAAGGTGGTGGTGGAGGGGGGAAGGAAGTTAGCAGATAATTGGCAAGAACACCAATTCCTTTGATTCTGAGAACTCCCAGGTAATCCCATAGCTTCAAGTACCTCACCCCCATCCCTGGCTATGCCAGATCCCCCCATGCACACTGTATGCAGCTTCCCCAATAGCCTGTCTGTGCCGCCCATTGTCCTATCTCTGCTTCCAAATCACATTCTACCTTCCCTTTTACGCAGCACATAAAATAAAGCCCAGCGTTAGCCGAGAGGCTGGGGAGGGGAAGGCTGCCCTTGATCCCAGAGCTGGGCGCTGGGAATGGACAGCGCTGTGATTAGGGTGATTGATCTGTCTGACATCCCTCACACAGGGACAGTCATAATTGCCTCTCCCATTTGTCAGGCCTTTCTGGCTTTTTGGCAGGTGTCTGTCTGCATGGATAGAAGTGCCAAGATTAGAAAGGGAGGCGCCTTTCCTTCTCTGCCTTGCAAATCCAGGGAAGGCTCTCCCTGTCCTCCCACCCACCGGCCTGAGCTCTGCTCTCCCCCTGCAGCAGCCACCATTCCCCAAAACAGTCCCCCTTCACCTTTGACCTCCCCGCTCTTCTGATTTGAATGCATGAAATGATTTTGCGATTGGCTTCCACCGCTGCTGACTTCTTCCCGTGAGCCATCATGAGATGAGAACTGGCAAAAAAAGCAAGCTTTAAAAGTAAAACAACTGGCATGTGCGACAAGACATGCTGTGAAGGGGGGTCCTGCATCCGCTGTTTTCAGCAGACCGCCGTAGACAGTTAAACCTCCGCCCCACCCCAGCCCTGCTGTCCTCTGTCAGCATCATCCTGTGTGGCATTTGGGACATTCCTACAATGTCCAGCTTTGTGAAGTCCAGGGTTCTCTGAAAAAAATACATTAAAAGAGATAGTATGTATTGAAACAAGCTTAGAAAATCTGGGTCAAGCACAGATGAATGGAGCCACAGGGGTTGCTCAGTGCAAGAGGCCTAAGCCTTTCCATGCTAAACCTCTGAGAGAGGGAAACGTTTGCAGCGCACACCAGCTTTAATCAAGCAGATATCACTACTACTTTAGCCTCGACTGAGAGGCCATTTCTGAGGAGCCCAGCACAGAAATGCTGCGTGGGTGACGCAGTCCCATGGAAACAGTGAAATGCCATCAGTGTGCAGGTTGGCTGGTTCCCAGGCCAGTCCCGACAGACACGGCAGCCCCTGAGCTCATTACTGAGGCTCTCCATCACCAAGGCCTCTGACAAATGTTACCAGATTGGTGGGGTTTCCATGTCATTTCCCATTAGTGGAAGAGCCCCCAGCTCACAGCCATCAAGCGGTTGGAAAGCGGCATTCACTTTATGTGAATATGCAGACTTCATGAGGAAGTCCATTCTTCCACAGCATCATGACAAGCCAGCTAATTTTCATTATTTTACCACCAACTTGCACCTAAAGCACATCCTCTCCCCCGACCTGACGGTTGGAAAGTGAGAAATGCAGGTGCTGGGAGGCTCTAGTTATGTCCAGTGTCTATGAGAGCACTTAAGCCACATGGGGGCAAGGGTGGCCCTTCCTATCTGGGACCAGAACAATAGGGTTCTGAGCCCCTGGTCCCTAAGACAGCAGACACGGCAGGGACCCAGAGTCCCGCTCCCATAACCCTGAATCGCAGTGGTTTCAGGCGGGCCTCATTCCCTCCCTGGAGCCTTGGGAGCAGAAATTCCAAAGTGAAACCAGGTGGTGGGGATGTGGGATAGAAATCTCACCTGAAAAAGAACTCTGGTCCTTTGTAACCATATCAGCACCCAGCTCCGCACAAACTAATTGTAAATCTTCTGCACTGGACATGCAAGTCTCCAGCGCCCTCACTTCCCAACTGTCTCAACTACGTTTGAAGCATAAAGCACTTTTGTGTTTCTCACGCTGCATCTTGTCCTAGCACCTTTGGTTTTTGTGTCTTCCTTTATTTATCCATTGCTCCAGAAATGTTTGTGAGAGGCAGTATACAAACTATATATGGCAAATATATAGCTACTGTATATAATATATGTGTTTGTTTTCATTTCTCTCTCCTGTATGTCCCTCACCCGATTTAGAACTAAATGAGCCTACAAGCTCAACTTTGTTGCAAGGTCAGTATCCCCCTGCTTTATGGTTTCTCCCCCCCCTTTCTCCTGGAACCCCCTTTCCCCCTGCTCCTTGCCCTGCCCTTCTGTGCATTACCCGAGGCTCCTATCTGTAAAGTTGCTTAGAGGATGGCAGGGGAAGCTAAGGTGGTTACTGGGAGCTGGTGAAACTCCAAAGGTAGCTCCCTTTTCTCTGCTCAACCCTTGCCCCCACTTCTCCAGACAGGCTGGTGGGGGGGGTTGGGGAGAAACATCATTAGCATCTCAAAGCCCAGAGACCTAGAAGATGGAGAGAGTGAGATAGAACCAATAAGAAGACAACTCCAACCCACTGAGCGATTTTCCTAGCGAGAGTCCTATTGATCGCAGCTCAGCAAAGTAGTCAGCACCAAGTACCTGAAGGTTCACATATTCCCTAAAATGCATCAGCTCTCACAGGGAGGTTCTCCAGGGGAGGGGTCGGGCATAGCACACCCACCATGCCTGCGGGTCGGGAGGCTGCTGTCCGGAGTGGGATGCCACCGAGTTCTAGTTCAGAGCCTGACGTTGAGTAGCTCTGTGCTCTTGGGCAAGTCACTAAACCCTATTTAGACTCAGTTTTTCTCTTCTACAATATGGGATTGATCTGCCTTACCTACGTTAGATTTGTTCTAACATTCAACTGAGGATGCAAAGTAAAAAGGCTTTGAAAACTGCTCGGTGCATTTGAATCATTAAAGTCCAGGCTCCAGAAGTGAGCGGAAAGGCAAGGACATCTCTCCATGCAAGGACATCGGGGTTCATTAACTCATTTCTCCCCACCCTTTACACCTTCCTCCACTGAAGCCCTTTCTCATGATAGACTCCTGCATCCCTTGCCTGTTTGCACAGCCCTGCAGATTCTCTCCAGGTCCACTAGCTTAGCCGGAGTAATTCATTATAACTGTGACTAAGCACTGGGGCCGGAGGGGGCCCAGCAGGCTGGTAGAGTACAGCGCACGCTGTCCCCAGGACAGTGCCGAGCGTCAGCTAGCCCGGCGGGAAGGCCGCTCTGGAGACAGCGAGAGGAATGGCTCTCACCCTCCGCCCCAGTCCCCTGACTGCTCCGATCCCACCTCACCCGCACCACCCTGCCTGTCCATTCGCATCCAGCTGTGCAGTCATTGGAGGGGGCGGGAGACTTGGAGGAGGGGAGGAGATGGAAGGAAATGAATGATCTGGGAAGCCCTTTGACAGATGACAAAAAATACTTCCATCAGGAAACAATTCAGGGCTGCCTTACTCACCTTGGTGATGCAGATGCCTTGGTGATGACCCAAACACAGGAAAATGAAACAATGGAGTAGGAAGGGGAAGGGGACTCCGAGGAAACATCCAGGGTCCACTGATGACTCAGCTTACATGTATTGAACCTCTGCGTGAGGCCTGTTCACAGATCTGAAGCAGAGAGCATGAGACAAGCTCCTAACAGATGGTAGAAGGAAGAGGGAGACTGGAGCTGAGACGGTACTGCTCCAGCAGGTGCCCTTGGGAGGGACTGAGCTCATCGGATCACTCAGCCCTTCATCCTCAGAGGGGACAGGAGCTTTCAGGACAGACAGTGGTTGCCAAGGAGTTAGTGTTTAACTGAAGGTACTCAGCTGATAGAGGGAGCATAGTCCCGCAACAAAGCCAACCAGACACAAGCAGCTCACTACCCGGCTGCCCAGCTGGGGACCCGAGCAGGCGCTTCATTGTCGGGCTCCACCTGCTGAGACGGAGCTGTCCCGCCTCGCTTCCCACAGCCGTCGGCCATGCGTGAGGGAGAAAGGATCCCCGTGCCTGCTCTCCGCTCTGATCCCAGGGTGCTCTCAACCCCTTCTGCTTCTTGCTGAAGGCAGAGCAGTGGGGCAGGGCCAGGAGGCGTAGACGGTAGACATCCGATTCATTCCAGGGCTTGGGTTAGCGTGGTTTTCAGGATAACTGTTGGGCGCTTTTGTACAACTTAAGGAATGTTTTGGAGGAAACAGGCCCACACCTTGGACATTTTCCCGTTCAGTTGTGTTCTTTCCCCATTTCCCCCCTCCTGAGGTGGTCTCTGGCAGAATAGAGAACTGCCTGCTTTCTCAGGGCATACTCCAAGTTATGCTCGATTTGTCTCAGAAATACCAAGCAAGATTTAAACAAGAGCATGGATTTCCACTGACAGGGAACACTGGCTTTAAGAAAAGGTCCGAGTTATTTTGCCACCCCGTAACTGGACAGACTAGAAAAGTTCTTAGGAAAGAATTGCAGCCCTCCTCAGCATTTTCTGCCACCCTTGAAATATTTCCCTTCTCCCCTTTTGCAAACACAACAGATTGCCTGTCGCCCTCCCTTATTAATATTTGGTGGTGCCGGACTCCTGCCATGAGAAATATGGACTCGGGGACGCGCCAGCATCCCTCACTGCTCCCCGCCACAGGCAGGGGAGCCGGGCCCGCTCTGCAGACTCAGCTGCTGGGTGGCTGTTCATTTCCCATCCACTGGTCCTCTGTCTTTTATCTCCTAGGCATTAAGTCAGATTGGATGGTATCAGTGGGCTGGGAAAGGGTGGCTGATAAATACCTGTGAACCTCACAGTGACAGTCCAACCAACTTAGAAAAGAACGGGGCCTATAGTAAGCTGCATCCGAAGGGACAGATTGCAGTAGAGATAAGTTCTTTCCTGCAGAGAATTAAAGGTAGTTAAAGAGCCCAGCCACCCAGCAGTTAGCATTTCTACAGCATATGTGTCTAAATACTAGAAGGTATATAAAGAAAGTTCTTACCCTTTTTCTAGAAGGTTTACGTGTTCATCCTGACTCGAAACCAGCCCTCCGCTGCCCACTACAATCAGATGGCAGCCCTGTGCTTACGTAGGCACCTGGACGCAGCTGTGAACACTGGCTTTGGTGACAAAAAGATCAGTTTGTAGATTGACCAGAGACACTGGCTTGGAGGCTTGGGGGGGGTGGGGTGAGGTTCTTTATTTTTTTTTTCTTTTATACAGTTTTTTTTCTTTCTTTTGAATATTTTGCTGCCATTGTGCCTAGTTTGTCATGAATAAATTAACAGAAATATCACTGATTGCAGTCAAGCTCTTGGTGAAGAAAACACAGGCTTGGATTTTTAGGGATTGTTTGTTTTCTTGATAGCCAAAGGTTAATGCAAAGACTTGAGCTATGACTAGTACTCACTTTGGGAGCTCAAGCTTCTGGAAGGTGGACCCCCAGTGACAGAGCATCCAGGGTGATAGAGAAGACGGTGTTGGCATTTCTACATCTCTTCTTGGGACCAAGTGAAAGGGAGTGGGTTAAAGGGCACCGTGAGGGGTGGAGAGTAAGTATAAAGACTATCTTGGCCCTGTTTCCCCCTCATTGTGGAGGGGTAACAGCCAGGGCAGAAACACATTCCAGTTAACTGGAAGAGTTGAAACACTGCTGCCTGGGAATGCCTCAGGGTACGTTCCAGCTGAGGTCAAGGATGAGTGTCCAGTGGTCCTTTACCTGCGTGGGGATTGAGAGTGCTGACCTTGCAGGCAGTGCATGCTGGAGATTCAGGGGAAAAGTAGCTGATGGGAACAGTTAAGCTGAACCTGTTTTCAAATCTTTACTTACCTTCTAGGAAACCACTTCTGGTACCTGGAGCATAGCAGAAAATTACGCTTTCAATTTCTTTCTATCTTTCTTTTTTATACTTAGAGCTTTATTTTTTAATTTATCTTTATTGTTGAAAGTATTACAGATGTCCCTCTTTTCCCCCATTGACCTCCTCCCCCTGGCATCCGCCCCCTCGCCCCACAGGCCCTCCCCACAGTGTTGCCTGTGTCCATGGGTTACGCATATATGCATATAAGTTCTTTGATTTTCTGTTTTTGATAGTTCCAGCATGCCAGATTGCCAAATAGAACCCTTCCCTGTGTCCTTACTCCAGAAGTGTCTAAACCAGAACCTGTCGCTCTAGGGACTGTACAGGTGCTCTGCTTGGAGACTGGGGTGAAAGGCCTGTGGCTGCTTTATCCCTCCAGAGCCTCTCTTTAGACAGCCTTCCTTCGTTCCAATTACCCTCCTTCTGGGTACAGGGAGACTCAACTCAATGGTACCTGAATGAGACAGTCATGAACACACCCCCTCCTTAACTTCTGGGCTGGTTTCTGTGGCTCAGCACTCACTCCAGGGACTGTCCCTGGTAAACACACCACACATGGCACCAGAACTCCCATCTTCTCTGCCACCCTGACTCTACAAAGGTCTTCTATGAATCACTCTTTGATCTTTGACCATAGATCACCTCAGACTTTTCTTCCGAGTGGCTTCTCAGGGTTGCTAATATCCACTTAGATCAAGAGGGATATCATATCTCAGGTACCTTCAAAGACTAGATTGAAAGCTTGGATGCAGATGTATATTCTGATTCTGGTCAAACGCTTCAGTTGAGTTTAGGTTGGGTTGAGTGTAAGTTGTCTTTCCTTCTACATGTGAGATCTTTGCACAGAGAAGGATGTAACTTCAGTATAGGAGATTTTAATGCCATGTTTTCATTTTTCTCAGCTTTGCTAAGGTATAAATGACAAAATTGTAAGACATTTAAAGGGTATGTTGTGGTGATCTGATATACAGAAACACCGTGAAAGTATTTTTCATCTTTATATCCTAGGTGAACAGCTGCTGAGGCCTCTAGCTAAAGATGGAGGTAAACAATTAGAAATTAGAGATTGTCACCACCTCAGGCCACTCAAGACATATTATCAGCAGAAAAGCCTCTGTGGATTGATCGGAGAGCTTGAAGTAGGGGGAAAGGGGATCTTTCCTGGTCTAGTTGGCAATGAGGAGCTGGAGTCCCAGCATTCCCAACGGCGGGTCCCAGCAAGTTCAAGTATAGCTGCGGCACAGATGCAGGTCTTACAGCCTCAGGTCGGCCCAGAGAGATGAAGCCCTCGGGGCCAGCTCGGTACAGTCGGACTCATCACGGGAAGTCACCTAGCTGAGGTCTGGGCTCCTCTGGCTCCTGCAGTAGAGCTCAGCAGTGTCTCTAAGATGAACACATGGATGCCGGTCAGACTTTTACACCTCAGACATAGCACGGTCGTCTATATTCAAATCACTGTAATATAATCCATCTGTGTGGGTTAATTTTATACTTAAGGCCTACAGACTTCAAGTAATTTGGGGATAGTCAGGTGGCCAAAGAAAGAAAGTTGTTCTATGAAGAAGTCTTTATTGGCTTGGGGGCTCAGACTTAAAGGTGCACCCTAGTCCCCTGCTCAGACAAGGTGGCTGTGTTAGTGCTCTTTGGTTCAGCAACCTAAGTTGAACGTCATATCTGTCCCCAACTCACCCGTTATGGCAACAGACTTTCCAGGGCACCGGAGGGGTGCCCGTGTGAGGACTAGGCTGTGGTCAGGACAGCAGGAGGCAAATGCAGCAAGAGGGCTGGGAGCGCTGGCTCCTTCTCAGAACCACCTGAGGGCAAAGCAGGTGCCTCCGACTGCCTTCTACCTTAACAGTGGCTTGTTTTTAATTTCTTTTAGAAGTGAAATCTACAGCCCTGACCCCTTGGAAAGGTTGGTATGTTTATTTCCTGGGCAGCTACTGCCTTGGTGAAGATGAAACATGCAAATCTCCGCCTGCTTCCAAACGCCTTCTGTCCTGAGCTAACCCAGAAAGCAGCCCAGCGGGCCTCCGCCCTGCCCGGGGCTGCGCTGTGCCCCTTTAGATTAACCCACCCCGAGGACGGTCCGTTCTCCCCGGGCAGCTTCCACTAGCAGAAGCCTAACTTCTCTGCTGCCAGCACTAACGAGCACCTGTCAGTGCCCAGAAGAGCTGCGCGTCTGGGCGCCTCTGCACCAGGCCTGCTCTTTCCTTCACACGGACTCTAACACACCGACCTTAGACCTTAGACCTCGCATGCCTCCCTTCGCTTCCCGCATTTTCTCTCTCTCTCTCTCCTCTCTCTTAGAACTGGAAGGGCAGCGGTGGGAGGGAGAGGAAAATGGAAGGAAGGGGGAGGTTCTTGTGTGAGTCACTTGCCTACAAATAAAAGGAGTCTTTTTTAAGGCTTTCATTCTTGCCAGATGTTTCTGATGAATAATTGACTCATCACAGTGTTCTGGGACCCTAACTGCCCTGATCATTAGTCTGTTTAGGCCTCTGCAGCCCTCTGATGAGTTAGAGGCAATAAAGGCATCCACTGTGGGGTGGAGGTGTGGCTGGACGAAGTACAGGGGCCTCATCTCTGTGGCCCATGTCACCAGGTAGATGGGCTCAGCTGTCGCCCTGGCCAGCACAGGCTCTGGGAGAGCCTTGCTCCAGGATGCTGTGGTCCACATGCCTGGACAAAGGTCATGCCATAGCATCCTTCCAGGTGCTGGGCATTGTGGATGGCCTATGTGGTGCCCGCCTTAACCAGTGCCCAGTTGGGGCAGGCCCAGGTCCTCATTCCTTCCACTCTTCATTTTCTGCAGATGAGTGAGTCACACAAAGCAGCAGCTATGAGTGAGTGGGAAGGAAAATTGCATTTGGAGACAAAAGTCAAGGGACCTTGGGAATGTCACGTAAGCTCTGAGGCCCAGTTTCCACCTATGGGAGTGCAGACAGCAGGCCTACCCTCGTGTGCGAGTGTTCACTCGCTAGGGGCTAGAACACCCTTTAACTGCACGCACTCGGCCTGATGTCCTAACCCCAAAGGTTTTACTTCCATGTACACTGGCCTTCAAGCTCAGTAATTTGCAGTGACTTTTATGGGAAAGGAGGGGAAGGGTGTTTGGAAGGGGAAATTGAAGTAAAACAAAAGGCAAGGTAGGAAGAGAGTTTATGTTTTGTTTTAGTTTTTTATTTTTCTTCCCCAAGTAGAATTTTAAGAAAAAGAAAGACACAGAGACAAAATATGGGCTTGACTACATGTATCACAACGTTCTGGCTCTTTCTTTCCTCCAACAGGCATTCATTGAATCCCTGTCAAGGGCCCAGTTAGACACAGAGGGACCTTAAGAAGCTTATAGCAAAGAGGAGGGAATACAGAAGTTAGACGGATACTGAGCATTATCACACAGGGCCTAGGCATTGTAATAGTGGGATGCATGTGGTGCTGTGGAAACAAACCACTGCGAATCACGGAAGGCTGCCTGGAGGAGGTGAATAGAGGCCAGAACAGAACCTGGAGCAAGGTGTGAGTGAGTTGAGTGAAAAGTGCTTCAGGCAGAGGGTGTGAGTATGAGAGGGAAAAGGAACATGATCGGAGGGTGCACGCCCTGCTTGCACGCACATGTGTATGCAAATGGTGTGTGCTTGTGCTGCCTGGAGGTGGGGGCAGGGAGAAACTGAAGGGCACGTGGCACGAAGAACCACCAAGGAGGCAGAAAAGCCAGCAGGTTATGAAGTGTGGAGCGAGCACTTAGAATAGCAGAAACACCGTCCTGGAACTTTCCTAGAGAATAAACTGGAGGGTGGAGGCCTCGGGTGTGAACGTTCAGGGAAACGGAGGGAGAGCTGCGTGGCCGCCTTCTCCTAGAGGCTGTGTGGAGAACCCCGCCTCTGTTTCCTCCTGCTGTCCAGCTTGGTGCTGAGAGCAGGATGGGTTGGGGGGAGGGGGGAATGTGGAGGGGGTGAAGGAAGGTGGGAGGTGGCCCCCCACAGTGAGTGACAGCCCCCCGTGGGTCTGGGACAGGAGATGGAGCGCGGGAGAGCTTGTCTAGGGTAGCAGTTCACAAGAGCAGGCTCTGGGGCACTCGGTGGCCTTTTCCTTCATCTGGGGGAAGGGATTTCTGTCAACAGGTCAGACGCCTCTCCAAGGGCTCTCTGTGGTGCTGCCCAGCAGGCAGCAGAGCCACAAAGGAACTCTCAGATGCTTGGCAATGAAACTGGACACAAAGGCCCAGAGAGCACCTGCAGAGTAGCCCTGCCACGTGGGGTGCCTGCCAGCCACAGCAGCCTCCCCTGTGGCTGTGGGGTCCCTGGCCCTCAAACAAGGGTTCCAACTTTTCTTACATGGTACCACAAACATGCCAGGCCCTGCTGGGCTGGGCGCCTGGCTTGTGGCACCCTCCACTGGTGGGCGCCCCAAAAGGAGGGAAGGTAGGAGAGCATCTAAATGCTGGGAACTGTCATTTCTTCCCCTGCTCTTCCCCCAAGGCCCCTTCTTAGCATTTGCCAGGAGGCAGGGATGGGGAGGGAGTGTGCTGGGATGAACGGGGAGTGGGTTTCAAAGCTGTGTGAATGTTCAGGAGCGCAAAAGAGATGAAAGGGAAAAAGAGCCAGGTGCCCATAGATGCGTGTCTGGCAAGGAGCGCCCTGTGCCAGGTGTGCAGAACACACTCAGTCCTCGTGCCGTGCCCACGTGAGTTGACGGAACACAGCCACTGCCCTGCCCTCGGAAACATGGAGCCCGGGCCCACGAGGCCAGCTGGTCCCCTGGGCTCCGGAAGAAACGTGTGTCTTAGAGTCAGCCACAGGCCCAGGCAGGGCTCTTACTGTGAAGGTTCCCGGACTGGCCCAGAGCAGAAGGGTTTCCACCCAGGAGAGATGCAGCCTCTCACCCCAGAAGGCAAGGGTCGTGGGTTCTCTCCCGGGATTCCCAAGAAGGCTGCGTCGGTCACAGAGTGACTCGGTAACAGAGAGAGGGGCTCTGAAGAGGGACTTCCTGGCAGATGCCTTTGGTTTTGTGTAGCCAGGAAGGTCCCTTCTTGCAAGGTGGAGCGTAGTCTCCTTGTGTTTCTCATTATGAGAACTTGAGCTGCCAAAAAAATCCTGGCCTTGAGAATGCTGGGACCTGGACAACAGGACACGTGAGGTGGGAGAACGTGTTGCATTTCAAACTCGTAAGGATGGAGAGCTCCCCACAGGCGGAGGTTTCTCCTGAAGGCCTAGGAAGTGCAATCACATGGGCAGTGCTTGCAGCCAGGAGCGGAGTGTTTCCTGTGCTCAGCATCCAGGTCAGGCAAGCAGCTCTGGCCTTTTCCTTCAGCCCGGTGAGGACATGGGCCTAGTGAGGACTCCTGCTTTAAATAACGTGCCATAACTTAGTGCAGCAGAGCAAGTCCAGGCCGAGAAGGCGCCCTGCTGTCTTGGGTGCCTCGTGTGTGCTGTTCCCATGGTGGGCGTTCTTGGCCACTGGGCTATGGAGCCAGGAAACTTATGCTCCACAGCGATAGGAAAGCTACCGGGAATTTTATGACTGCATAGTTTTCTTGCCTCCCATAGCTGGCATCGTTTCAGTGTTGTTGGCAGGCCAGGTCGGTGTGTGCCTCGCAGGGGAAGGTGCGTCCATCTCCCTCTCACAGACATCCTCCAGGGCAGGCTCCGCGTCCCCACCTCCACCTAAACCTTCCTTTACCTCCAGGGACACAGCCAAAGGCCACCTGTTTCTGCTTGTTCCCACCTGCACTCCCTGTGAGCCGGGCTTGGCTTTTTAGTGTCTGATGCTTGAGCTCGGTCGGCTGTTGCCAAGACCAGATGGGAAGAGGCCAAGAGCTCCAGGCGGAAACCTGCGCTCTGCCCTGAGATGCAGTGATTGACAGAGGACGCGGAGCCCGGGCGGCAGCCGCAGGGAGGCAGATTGTGGGTCCAACAGGTCCTTCCCGGCAACAGGCGGAGCAGCTGGGGGGGGACGTGAATGGTTAAGGCAGGCAGGGCTCGGAGGTGGTTGGGTGACGGTGCACGCGATGCAGGGGTCTTACTCCGTGGAAGCTCTTTGTAGGATATTAATAAGTCCAGCACCTTCATGTGGAACTTGACCTTGAGCCACAGCCGTAGCATAGTACAGAGTGAAGGAGCCGTGGCCACCGGCGCCCTTTAACCTGAGCATGATGTTCTGTCCTCGCCAGGGAAGGCGCCCCACTATATAGTGTGCCCGCTGGATGGGAGCTATAGGAGGCCCATTTGCAATGCACCCCTACCTAGGGAGTGGGGACCACAGATGCTCCCAGTTAGCGAGGTGCCCCAGCTGAGGCGAGGCCCGAGGACAGCTGCCCAGGCGCTGGCCGCTCCCTCCTGTCCTGGCTGCTCCGTGACTCGTGCGTTCTGCCCACAGGCCCGGGCGCGGTCAGCGACGTGAACAACGGGACGCCGAGGAGGGCGGGCTGCACCTGGCTGCTACCCCTCCTGGTCTTCCTCCTCCTCAAGTTTTGATGTGAGTGCCGCTCCCCACCGGGGACTCTGCCGCCACTGCAAGCGCCACACGCCAGCGCCGGCAACTCCGACGGCAACCAGAGCAAACCCCTTTCCAACTACGACGTAATCCAGTGAAATTCAGAGAAACAGAGCCCATTGGGACACAAATTCGAGGGAGGGGAACAAAGAATACTTCGGGAAAACACGTTTAAAAAGGAAATCGAAAACCGCCTTGCAGGCCTCGCAGATCCGTAGGTACAGCTGAGTTTTCTTTCTTTTCCCAAGTGGGAGGAGCGCACACCAGCCTTGGACCCACCCGCAAGCTGCAATGCGAGGCCTCTCGGTTTCCAGGGTGGGCGAGGGCTCCGCCACTCTGCCCACTCAAGTGCCCCTGCCAAGGAAAACCCTGGAGTCGGCCATCCCAAATTCAATCAGTCACTAGAGACGAACACAGAGTGAGACGTGCGCCCAGAGGTGCCCCCGGGGCCCTCCCGTAGACTGTGCCACTGTTGTGTGTGTGATGAAACGCCAATTTAAAAATAAATAAATAAAAAGGAAACTAAACGAGACAGCCTGACAGCTACACAACCCCACAGTCAGCAGTCACCACAGATCTTGTTAACTTTCTTTTTTTTTTTTTTTCTTTTTTCTTTTTTCTTCATTTTACTACATGGACATCATGGATAATAAGGGTTTCTGATTCATTATTAATTTCATTAATTATGTTTTCTGATATGAGTCTAGAACTTAGTGCAAAAACAAGACAGAACAAAAACCACACACAAATGAAAGGGGTGAAGAGAAATATGTTTGTTAAAGATTAAAACGTATAGTGCACTTCTTAACTAGGTTTACAACTGGTGGACCACACACCGGGCACTAACCGCCTGGTGAGGATTTGGCAAATCCACCAAAAAATACACACATCCGATTTAACCAATATCTCCACCAGCGCTACAGATTTCCCTCATTCCGCATTCAAGGCAGACACTGCTGAGCTTCTCCATGCTGTTTAGAAATGGAAGGGGGGTCTGCACTCGATCTTGCGTTTGTTGGCTATGCTTTTGATGACATATATTATACAGTATATATATACATATATTTTTTTTGTTAGAGTTCTAGCCATTTTCTTTCTCAGCAGGGTCCTTTCTCAGACATTACTGCATGCTGTATATGGCGTTAGCTGTGTGTTGACCTTCTAAAAGATGATAGAGTTTACTGGTAATTGTGTAATCAGCTCCTGCCTCTTTATTTTTGGGTTACTCACATGTCAGAGACATTTATACAAAGTGAACAGAGAAAAACAGCACTAATACCAGGCGCAGCATCTCTTCCAGGTGTGGCTCTCAGAGGCCCAGGCGGGCGCCTCGGTTCTCCGTCACCAACCGACAAGCAACTGGACAACTAAACAGTCAGTAGCCACTCACTCTAGCCCTAAGGGAACCTGATGCCTTTGTGAGCACTGGAGAACTGAATCCTCTTGGTTCGTTCTATTTAATTTCCCACCTTTGTGTGCGTGTGTATGAAAGAGAAGAAATGCAGTTTTTAGATCATCTTGTTCCTCCCCCGAAGTCTGGGGACCAGAGAGGCCTCGGGGAGGGTCCTGGATGTGACGAGGGAAAGTGGGATCGGGTTAGGGGAGGGCGGGGTTGTCTCTGACTTGACATTAAAAAGTGTTCCATGTCCCTCTTCACCTGGCGTGGTACCTCATTCTCAGGCGGGGACGTGGGGAGCAGAGCCCGGGTGGCTCAGGCGTGACCAGGGAGGGGACGGCTCCTGACTCAGGCTCCTGCTCCTTAGACCCCTGATCGGGGTGAGCGGGGCTGGCTCTGTGGTACTTGCTCTGAGGACAGAAAGGACAGTCAGAACCCCGTCAGTCCTCCTCACAGAAGCGAGGGCGGGCGGGTCTCAGGGGCTCCGGGTCTGCGATGCTGGCCGAGGCCGCAGGATCCTGCTGCGCCCAAACGCCTCACCTCAGAACTGGGCAGACTGTCACCGTCACATCTAGTTAAAGGCAGGCTTTTACATGAGATTAGTTCTAGGAGGCGGTGTAGGGCGGCTATCAACCAAAACCAAAACATAACAGAAGAAGACTTGAAACACTGCGGGTTGGTATTGAATTATCCCAAATCCCATCAACTGATCTTTTGGGGACTCTTCCCTCCATGCCTGCTCTCCAAAGCTTGCCTCTAGCCACAAATTAAGAGGAGAAGTAGTTTTAACACAAAATAATATTGAAATAATTCTCAGCCATTCTGGGAATTAAATAGTATCTCAAGATTCACTGAGAGGTGGACGTCAGGTCAGAGCTGAAACTCTCAGGAATTACTCTACATGGGTCCTCGGGGGTCAGTGCCACCCGAGAGGAGTAGCAGATGTTTGCAAAGGAGTCCACTCATTTCCCATGGCTACTAGAAAAGTTGAGAAGACTGTTGGCTTCATGTTAGTGTGTGTGTCCTATCCTTCCACACTTACCACCTGGTGTCAGAGACCCCAGCGCTTCTTCCCACAAGATGATCAGATGGTTGGGAGCAGTGTGAGAAAGCCTTGCAGATTTGGGCTGAGTTGGTGTCATTCCTTCATTATATTCCAGAACAACTAAAGCCAAGGGTTTGGGGACTGTCCCCTTACAATGAGAGTGGGCGGGTGAGATTTGCTAGGTCTCTCAGGCCCGAGCTTCTGCAGACAGCACTCGGAGGATTTGGATGCCCAGCGTGGTTCATCGGCCAGAGTGGGAAATGCACACGCAGGTAATTCCCATGTTGCTAAACTCGAGCCCAGATACACCTCTGAGTTAAGTACACTGAGGCATCTGCACAGAGAGGCGTCCCAGGCTTTGCTGGGACAAGAGAGTACAGCGACACAGGAGCTCCCATCTGAATCAAAACTTCCCTTTTCATAGCGACTGAGCAGGCTTTGATCACTCCATCACCATCCTCCCAGGAGTCATTTGTAAAGTGACAATGGTAACTTCCTAAAGTGACGTTCATGAGGAAGATATTTTACCCCTTTTCGAGCTCCATTTCCCTTCCCATCTGGGGTCCTTTAGGGCTCTATTTATTCCAAGGCATGTCTGTTGTAGAACCAGCTTCGCCATAACTGATGGGTTCAGCAGTCAGAACTTCCTAATCAGCCTCCGGAGGGGTTTCCTCTCATCTTCTGCAGAGTGTGCCACCTGAGCCCCCATCTGCTGAATTTTAGTCTTTAAAGGAAGCATCCAGGTGCCCATGAGCAAGGACCTTCAACCAGGTTTAAAGTTCAGTCTGGGAGGACATGGTTTGATAGAGCTGATGGGGACAAGCCTCAGGCCTGTCTGTTCTCAGGAAACAGGAGCGTGGCAAAATAGTTCATTCACGTAAGTAAAGAGAAGCACCTCGAATGCTGCATGCAGCTGTTTTTCTTGGCACAGGTACTGATGGAAGACCATACGACAGGCTGGCCTGGATTTCAAATGCACGTGACCACTGGAGACTCGGACATGACTCACTCACACTTTAAGATTCACCCACTACCCTGAACATTAGGATGCCCCTTGAGGGGATCATGATTTAGGTTTGGCAGATTTTCCCGTGATAGTCTCTCATATGTGTGTGGGGGTGGGGGTGCGGGGTGTTCAAGCCCTAACTACTGTAACCACGCCTATAGAACCCCATCCACCTTCTTCCACCAGAATATCTGTTCCTCTCCAGCCATGCAGATGTGCAACAGCCCTCAAGCTCCTGCAGTTAACTCTTTCCCCTCAATGCTGCTACACGATGGGCTTAAATGCCTAACTTGAAGCTTTTGTATGTGTCCTAGGACTGTCTTGATGAGTGGGACTCGCAAAGCTGAAGCTGTAGTCACAGTCAATGATCCATGGATGTTTGTTTGTTTTGTTATAGATGGTGATGATAAATGACAGTTACTGTTACTCAAGCTGGAGATAAGTTAGCAACTGGTTTAACAATAAAATCCGATTGAGATTTAGCACATTTCATTGGACTACCCATCTTTATCGGGCACCCTTGAGCCATGAGTTCAGAAGGAAAGATCATCACTCCAGTCAGTCACAGGATAGACCCTTTAATGGGCAGATTTGTCTGATAAATGTAAAATTGGAGTCAGCAAAACATCCCCAATTTTCTATTCTCATGATAATGTTTTCTTATGGCAATGTTTTGACGTACTTCTCACTAGAGAAGAAAAATTTATCTGAAGAGAGAGATGGGGCAAACCAGGTGGTCCCTGCTCCTGATGAGCCCGCATGCTCCTGCGCTGCTGTTGGCCACATGCACATGCACACCAGCCACGCAGCCTTCAGACAAGCAACTTAAGAATTGGAATTAGCAATATCTGAGGGAGGCACCAAATAACTCTTTCTGGCATTTTTTTAAACCAAATCTCAGAAGTAATTTGGGATTTAATTGTGTAGTGGTGTCTCCTTTGTCATCCCATAACTGCTCAATCAGGCCATTCTAAAGCCTTAATTTTTATCTCTCTCTGCTCTTAATTCAAATCCTATTTCCATGATTGTCCAAATCTGTCTGCCTCCAAGGCAATAAACTCAAATTAATATTCCCATGATTTGTGAGTAACTGAGACCTCTGAGTCTCTGCATCTTCATTTTCCTGTCTCCCGCAACTCCATATCTTCCACACCGCATCCATATCATGTGACTAGAGTGACATGGTTTTGTTTAGAAAAGACCCCCTAATTCCCGAGCTCAAGTTAAGATCATTCTTACAATTTACATCTGATGCATTATCTTTTAGAAAGGAGTCTTGGTTTAGCTTTAGATATTTTATTTACCCTCAACAAAGGATATGTTTCTATTGATTTTAGAGAGAGGGCAAGGGAGAAAGATAGAAACATCTATGTAAGAGAGGATCGTCGATCGGCTGCCTCCAGTATGCTCCCTGACCAGGGATTGCACCTGCAACCTAAGTGTGTACCCTGGGCAAGGATTAAGCCCACAGCCTTTGGTGTTTGGGAAGATGCTCCAAGCAACCGAGCCACCCTGCTAGGGCTGGTTTAGCTTTGTGAATGTTGATTTTACCCCCATGCAGACACAGATATCAGCTTCTGGCGTATTGTGAAGGTATATAGTTTATTCCTATATTTTAGGGAATGATAGAATTATTAAAAAGTGAATGATTTCTCTGTCAGAATATCTAGAACTTCCTAAAAATATAAGTTGGCTATGGCTGTAGCACTTACCTTGTTTCCAGGGAACTTAATTTTGGAGTTTCTGAGTACCAGTGCAGTTTTTTGGATACAGAATTGGACTGCTGATCAGTAGAATTAGGTTCTTCTAGTCCAGATTCTGTTACTACCTAGTTGGGTTCCCTTTCCTTATCTTTTATATCAGAAGTTAAGATGGAAGATTGCTAATTTTTTTAATCTTTAAAATTCAATAATCAAGTAATTTCAGATTTTATAAGATTTATGTAAGAAAAAAATGAGGAAAGCTATGTTTTTGATTAATGACAATTGAAGGTGTAAATCTGGGGACATTCTGGAGCCAACACATCCTGCTTCTTTCCAGAATGGCTCCTAAGGAAAGAACGCATGCAGCCCTATGTGCTATTAGGGAGAGGCTGAGGAATGCATGGCAGCATTGGGAAGGAGTGTCACCTAATAAAATACAGTAGCTTCT